CCCACCCCCGAGATCCCTCCCTCCAGAGGCCCCTCCCTCCAGAAGCCCCTCCCCCGCCGGCCCGCCCCACCCGAGGCCCCTCCCTCCCGAGGCCCGGAAGTCTGCTCTCCACTCTGGCAGCGTGGCTGGCAGGCCCTGAGGGTTGGTGGCAGCTTCCAGGAGGACTCACCTTGAGGTCTCCCGACATTATCCAGCATTATCCAGCCCCGGAGGCTGTGGCTTTAACGGTAAATGAAAATGATTAGAATGGTAGTGGTGAAACATAAATTCGCTTATGTCCATCTATTAAAGTTACCTATTTGTTTAGAGACAGGGACTCACTAGCCCAGGCTTAACTTGCTATGTGGCTAAGGATGGCCATGAACTTTTGATCTTTCTGTCTCCACCTTCCAAGTGCAGGGAGGCTTGGTTTTATGAGGTACTTGGGATCAAACCCAGAGCTTCTTGCATGCCAGGCAAGCACTCTACCAACCAGGCTACATCCCTAGCCCATCAGATTTTATTTGCTTGTTTGCTCGTTTGTGTTGTATTGGTTTAAATTTCAGTCTTTCTCCCCCAAGGAAATCCATCCCCAGGATCATTATGGAAAAGGCACCTGTGTAAACTGCCGCTACAAGGCAGCCTCCCTAGTTTTGTGGTTCCTAGTGATATAGTCCTCTTAACACTTTATTTAGAAGTTGGAATGATGGTTCAGAGGTACAGAGCTCTTGAGTCAGCTAGACTCAAGCCTAGAATTCTATGAGAGGAGAAGCCGCAGTAGAGGAATTTCCTAGATCCGGTTTGTCTGAGGATGTGTCTGTCCCAGAATGTCTTGATTGGTAATTGACACTGGAGGACCCAGCCCACTATGAGTGGCATCATTCCTTGGGCAGGTGGTCCTGGACTGTATTAAAAAAAAAAAAAAAAGCTAGCTAAACATCGAGCCAGGGGTCAACCTAAAGAGTGAGCTAGTAATCTGTATTCCTTCATGGCTTCTGCCTTGAGTTCCTGTCTTGACTTCCCTCAACCTGAAAGTGTATGCCAAATAAACCCTCCCCTTCCCCAAGTTGCTGTTTATCAGAGTGTTTTATACAGCACAGAGTGAAACTAGAACACTGCTCCTCCAGAGGACTAGAGTTCACTTCCCAGACCCCAATCTGGTGGCTGGCAAGTTCAGCTCTGGTGGATCCAACTCCCTCTCTCCCTCTTCTGGTTTCTGTAGACATCTGCATGTACATGGGGGTACACACACACACACACACACACACACACACACACACACACACAGGTTTGCACATAAAAGTAATAAAATCTTTAAAGATATAATGAAATCAAAAGAAGCTGAAAATACTTAAGGAAGGTGTGGTTCACGGGAGTGATATGGTTATCTTTAGTGCTAGCCCTAAATTAGAAGATTCTTGGGATTCATGTGACACTTAGCCACCACCTTCCCACTCTGCCTTAGTCCCCCATAACTATTTCCATTTTCTATATTGTAGTTTCTTCCTTTCCTTTCTTTCTTTCTTTTTTTGACATAGCATCTCATTCTGTTGCTCAAGCTAACTACCAATTCCCAATGCCCTGCCTTACTCTCCCTAGTAAGCCTGGTAGGGTGGTCCAGCCTGTCAGTCCAGTGTCCAGGAGGCTTGGGCAGGAAGATGGAGAAATGGGCTCTGTAATGAACCCTTATCTCAATATATATATTGTATTGGATTATAGCCCGTTAAAAATTAAGTGATTGATAAAGGGTGTCACTGACTTGAATATTTGGTGTGATGTGTTTTAGTGTGTAACATGATTGTACAAGGGTCAGCTCTTCCTGGCCTTAGTGTATGCTGTAACAATGTCAGAGAACCCAATATGTAGGGACCTGGTCAGCATCAGCCCCTGAGACCTGGCGCTGAGAGAGCACAGTGTAACTATAGAAACAAGCCAGGGAATTTGGAGGAGTTGCTCAGAGTGACGTGTAGCCTAACGCGTCGGAACCTTCAGCAGCTTTGCTGTGCCTCCTGGCTCAGTGGCTTTGCAGACCTAAGGAAAACCTAACTGAGGACAGACCAGGCCTTCTGTTACAGATCAAAAAGAGCACAGGACTTAGAGCCAGGATGTGTAGTCAAAGTCCTTGTGTGACCTTTAGTGAGTTTCTTATTCTTTAAAAATCCTTAGCTATGCCACGCAGTGGTGGCACACACCTTTAATCCCAGCACTCAGGAAGCAGAGGCAGGTGTGGATCTCTGAGTACAAGGCCAGCCTGGTCTACAGAGTAAGTTCCAGGACAGCCAGAGTTACCCAGAGAAAACCAGTCTTAAAAAAAAAATAAATAAATTAGCCACAGAATGGCTGTGTGGCCAGCACTTTTGTGGTTCTCTTCCTCCAGGGACAACCTACTGGAGCCACCATGTGGTCACTGCTACTCCAGGTGGTGACGTGGCAACCTTGATGAGCCCCTGGTCCCCAGGCTAGCGCAGTTTTGTCCTGGTTGGGTTCCTTCCTCTCCTTTCTTTCCAGCTCGGTTCCCAGGACTCCCACGCCACACCACTTTGCCTCTCCTAATAGCCTCTTGACAACGCTCAGCCTCAGTTTGCGCTGTAACTAAGAAATAACTGAGGTTTTGCCGAAAGGAATTTAAGCCTCAAATCTATAAAGCTGGCCGCTCTGTAGAAACGCTTGTCCATCTATCCTCTGGTTGGTTTGCACAATGAGTCCCCACGTGTGACATGTTGGCTGGTGCAAATGAGGCTCTCAAGAGAGACAGAGGAACGGGGAGGGTGGGTCTGCTACGGGGAAAACTGGATTCAGGAGAGCCCGGTCCAGAGGTGCTCTTACTCTCTGTGAAGTGCCACCTCCGGGAAGGCTTCTTTTTCAAAGTAAGGGGGCTGCAGGAACCACTTCCTGGACTAGCTTAAAAATCCCTCTTTCCTAGTATTTTTGTTCTAGGAAATGAGAAACAAATATATTGATACTTAAGAAAGAACTGATAAAAAAAAGAAAGAAAGAAAGAACTGATTGGAGAGCTATAGATTCCCACTAAATAAAGTACCTAGGCAACTCTGTTCAAGGAGTCCCCAGGGATATTGGGGCTTCTTTGTCTCTTAAGATTTATTTAATTTTTAAATGTATGCATATGTCTGAACACATGCATCCTGGTGCCTGTGGAGGCTGGAAAGGAAAGTTGTAGTTCCTAACTAGAGTTACGGGTGGTTAGGAGCGGCCTTGTTTTCGTGTGCGGGGTCCTCTGAGCGTAACAAGCGCTCTTAACTGCGGAACCGTCCCCCTCTCCACTTGAAAACTCCTGTCATAGGCATGGAACACTGCTCTCACTGCCCAACAGAATGTATTTCAGAGCTGAATTCCAAATGAGCCAACACAGTCACACACTGGCCTCTCTGCTCAAGGCAGGGGCCGGCGCCCCTCCGGATTGCGCAAGATGTCACTGTGGCCGAGCTGGAATGGAAGCCGGTTTGACGCAGGTGAGAGGACAGACAGATTGACCACAGGAATCAAGCCGTGGTCAGTGCACCAGAATTTCACAATGTGCAGGTAAATGACATCACAGGGGGAAAAAATAACCAAGTGTGGTAAGTGGAGTTGCAAACAAATCACAAACACAGAACATCTCGGATTCAAATACTCATTTGGTTAAGTGAGGAAAAATAATGCTTTATTCACAGTTTCAGTACCCACTACATAGAACTTCTGTTGCAAACCCCCTCGAGTCTTGTTTGGAATCAGTACAGCCAATATTTGAGACTGAAAGAACAAACAGATTTGGATTTCTATGACACTGTGAAATAAAGGGGAGATTTGCATCAATGAAGTAGTTGTTAGAACAATCTCTGAAAGGAGGCAGTTTCCTTTACGTATCTTTGGAAATCTTTATGGTATTGCAAAAATGAAGGACAGAAAGTCAGATCACGTGTACATTTCATGAGCCGTAAACTTGTGTATTTTTAAGGTTAAAATGTAATGTCAAAATAATTACAGATGATGCTCATAACTGCTCACAGTTTTGTGAGTCATCAATAATAGAGAACATGTCATAACAGAAAAAAAAATTTCTCCCCTCGTGTATTTTAGGACAAACCTGACAACAGGTAACATAATCCCCAAGCTGTGATAATAATCATTTTGTATATGAAAAGATATCTAGAAGTAGGAAGGGCTGGGTTGGCTAACAGCTTAGATTTTTCCATGATTGCCTTTTCCCTAGTGACTCGAAGTCAGCTGGCACAACTCTGTATGTTGCAGCCTTACATGCATTTGCCCAAGTAAGAAGGAAGCATCCTCATGCCTCTTTCCATTAGAGGAAAACACCTCTCTCCTCCCTGACTGTTTTAGGTCAGGCTTGACCTTGTGGTTCACTGGCCCCAAACTGGGTTTCATTCCCTCTTAACACTAATAACGGTAACAACAGTAACAAATGGTGGATGGAGACTAGAATTACCCCTAATTCATGTAGAACAGGGTCCAGCAGATTCCTGAAAAGGACCAGCCGGCAAACATTGTTGGAGACTTTTCCGGACGTGCTGTCTCTACGGTACGCGTTCAGCTCTGCCACTGTAGAGCCGTGGACACTGCCGATAATTAAGTGTGGCTGTGTTCCAACAAGACTTAGCTTCTGCATGTGGACATTTCATCTCGTAAATGTTAGGTTGCTTCTTTATTTTGCTGTGATGAAACCATGACCAAAAGCAACAATTTGGTTGCTTTTATAGGTTAGAATCCATGTCCAAGTTTGTATCAAATGGACAAAAATTAGGACAGCGTATAATTTTTACTTCTCACATTGTATTTTTTTTTAGTTTTTCAACTGTTTAAAAACCAGATTTTTTTAAAGCATTTAGAGCAGCTGATGGAGTAGACTTGGCTAGCAGGCTCACTTGTCAACCAGGTCAAGAGTATGGGTGCTTTGTTGCCTTAGGACTGTAGGAGGGGCCCACTTCCTCTGAAATTAAAAACACTCCAGTCTTGGAAAGAGAGGAGAAATCGGGGGAATTCTAAAGTTTTCTAGGAGCAATCTTCTTCATTAAAAAATTTTTATGTGACCCCAGGTTATTTAGGGAGATAAAACAGATGTACAAATCAAACATTCCCTTATAATATATTTATAATAAATCATAAATTTGTTTTAAAACACTTTGGTATACATATCATTTTAGCATTCATAAAAGACGAACATGTGTTAACATACTAAAGATGTGCGTGCACCTATTTATTTTTATATAAGGAATGCAATCTTAGTTAAATAGTTGATGCTGAAGAAGGCAGAGCATGGTCGGTGTACCTGGCTCTTCCTGAGGAGCTTCTCCAGCTGCTCCCCACTCCTGTCCAGGGCATTTCCTGTGCTCCTCTGTCCTGCCTGGTGTTTCTCCAGCACAGCTCTCAGATACTCAGGGTGCAGCCCTACCTTCTGCTGCAGCAGAGCAAGCAGCTCACGGTGAAAAGACCGCAGCCTCTCGGCTAGCTGGTTCTGGACTTGGGTCGTCTGGAAGAGGATGTCTCCAAATTCCATCAGAAGACCCAGCTCCTGGTGGCCAGTTCCCGCATCTTTACCAAGTCATTCAAATGGCCTTTGGCAGCAAGAGCCACACCACCCCCCAGGGCTTTCTCATAGCAATTCCACGTGGTGATGATGAAAAAAGCAGAGGCTGGAATTGAACGGCATCATGATGATGGGTCCTGTGGACAATTTCTAAGAATCGTGCATCTCTTCTGAATGAGACAGCAACATGGTCCTGAGTCCTGCGTGAATCCCAGAACCATTTCACAAGCAGGATTCTGAACTGTGTAAGAGTAAAAAGAAAAGAGCTGGCTGAACAATGACCAGAAGCAAGCAGGCGGCATGGGCGCATCTGGTTTTCCATCCTGTTGACCACAGAGGTGATGTGACCAGCTGTCTCTAATCTCCTGCCCACGTGATGGACTATAACCTGTGATTTTAAGCCAAATAAACCCTTCTCTCCCCTAAGTTGCTTTTTGCCGTGGTATTTGTCTTAGTTTTGTTCTGCTGTTGTGATAAAAGACTGTGCTAGCTGAAGGGGCTCTTTATTTCAGAGGTTTCAGTTCATGGTCCTTTGGCTTGTCCTTTTGGGGGGGGGGGGGTGCGACAGCCATCGTAACAAGGTAGGTTGTAAAGCGCCTCACCTCATGGTGGCCAGAAAGCAACGAGAGTAAACATTCCCTTCGACGTCATACCCCCAATGAGATGGAAAGATATCTCAGCAATTAAGAACATCTTTTTTTTGTTCCTGCAGAGGACTTGAGTTTGATTCCCAGAACCCACATGGCCGCTCACAACAATTCATAACTCCAGTTCCAGAGGGACCAGTGCCCTCTCCTGGCACCTGTGGGCAACAGGAATGCATGTTTTATGCACTGACATGCATGCAAGCAAAATACTCAGACATAACATTTTTTTAAGTCTTTTTTTTTTTTAAAAAGAACACCCCCCAATGGCCTAACTTCCTTCCCCTAAGCCCTCCTTCCCCCAAAGGTCCACCACGTCCCAATACACAATCATCTTGGAACAAAGCCTTCAACGCATACGCCTTTGGAAGATATTTGGGATCCAAATCATAACAATATGGTGGCGCATACTTGTAATCTCAGGGTGCCATGTAGGAAAATCTCTTCAAGACCAGCTTTGACTACAAAGTGAGACTTTATGTCAAGAAAAAAATGAAATAAAACAAAAAACCCCTGCAGGTAGCCCCCCAGGAGGGTGTGAATTGAGGATGCAAAAGCTGGTGTCAGGAACCCCACACAGCAGGTTGTGTTTTGCAAGGAATGTGGCCCTTTTTCAGGAGCATGATCTTCAATCAGTGTAGTCCTCGGGGCTCTTAATTAAACCCAAATGAAGTTAACTCTATTTGCTGAGGCACAATAGGCAGTTGATTAAAGAGATAGTTTGACTTTTATAAGGGGAGTTCCAACTCCATGAACACAAGACCCCTCTCTATCCCACCACAGAGCTGGTTTTCCCTGGAAGCCCCTGCCGAAGCTCTGTGGAGCTCTGCATGTTAATCTGCACCACTGCCCCCTTTGTGTTTCTGTTCTTCCAAAGCTGGGCCTGAGCCTCACCACGTCTGCATGATAAATCATCCCATACCCTGTCACTGCCTGGTTTTGCTCATTTCCAAATGACAGGTCTTGAGTGACAGCTAATGGATGCCATGGCGCTGGTCTCTAGTCTTCGCCATCTCTACAGAGGAGCAGGCACGGTGGGATTCTGCTTTCTGCCCTGAAAGGCAGGACTCACTTTAGTGTTAACATAGTTCCCCCAAAACAGAAGAGGAGTTTAAACCATGCTAACAGTGTGTAGCTAACCATGCTAACTAATGGTGCATAGCTAAACCATGCTAGCTATAAGCAAACTCTAGACTGGTAAGGGAAATGGACAGGGGAAAAGGCAGGGGTCTTTGAAATATCAGGGTACCTTTGTAGACTCCCTTAGCTTGATTTGAGCAGACGTCTCCAGTACAGCTTGGTTGAAGGCCACACCAGGGAGCGCCGGATCCTGGGTTAAATCGCTGAGCAGGAGCCACCTGCTAAACTCCCATGGCCTTGTGACTCCAACAAGGGCCAGTTCTTCCTGTACTATTCCGTGTCCTTGCTGAGGCTCAGGAGCTGTGATGTGGCCCTTGCCAGAACCAGAACTCTAGCCTTGGTGCACTTACATCACTTCTGTCGAAATGAATCACGGCAATCAATTTGATAGATTACATCATTGTAGGCTACCAGGATTTACAGAGCTCTCTCTGTCTCCATCTGAGTTCCTTCTCCACCTCCATGACCTCTCATCTTGATTTATAGCTGGGTATATCTTCATTGCGTTATTCTTTAGCAGCTGTATCCAATTTGAGACCCATAGGCGACATGCATCCCAGGATAGCTATGCATGTGACCCAAAATTTGTAAATGACAGTATCATGTCACGCTGGCGCCCCCTACAAGTCTCCTCACTTTAAAGACAAAAAGCATTCAATAACTATTTATTGAGTCACGTCCACATCCGATGATGATGCTTTTACTTAAATTTAACATCAAGACTGTTTTGAATATGTCAATAAGTGCCGTTTGAGAAATAAAGCACACATCTGTGTGTGATGGCACACATCTGCCATCGGAGTATAGGGGTTGATGAGACAGAAGGGTCGTATATCCAATTAGTCATCCAAAATAAATGTTACAAGCAAATTTATAGATTCTCAAAAAAGAAGAATGTCCATAGGGCCACAATTAGAAGATAAAAACATTTGCTTATAATTGGTCCTATTGGATTTGAAAGGGTTGTGAAACTATTGTGTGAATCTGTTGCCTCCTTTGGGTCTCCCTTGCCATTATGTATCTTCTATCTCAGGGCAGCAGACCCACCCATTCAGTCAGGAAATTGCAGCTCAACCTGAGCTGCCAAGGTCAGTAGCCTTCAGCTTGGGATTTTATAAGTATCTTCGCCATCCTACTCAGGAGCAACAGTTTAACACTATTAATCATGGCGGGCCATCACTGCTGTCCCAACCCTACAGCTCTTAAATCTTTTCTGTTTCTTGTGTATTTTGATCACAATAGTGACACAAAGATGATCTATGTCTTTTGCGGAAAATTCCCTTCTGTGAAGTAGGTAAGACAAGCAAAGCCGGAGAGCTTGAATGCCCAGGCAGGTTGTATATGTTAGCTATTTAACATATGGCATATAATTACATTTTTTTTTATTTAATAGCAAAACCTGTAGGAGCCTGTTGAGTGTATTTGCCAATTCTCTAGAGGACCAGAACTGATCATATATATATGTGTGTGTGTGTGTGTGTGTGTGTGTGTGTGTGTGTGTGTGTGTGTGTGTATTATGATTTATTAGAGTGGTTTACACATTGTGGTCTGGCCAGCAATGGAGAGAGAGGCCAAGGATCTGATTGCTGTTCAATCCACAAGGCTGGATGTCTCAGCAGTCTCGATCTGGTGTTGGAGTCCCAGGGAAGCCCCAGAAGGCTGCTGGTCTTTAGTCTATGTTAGAATTCTGAAGAAGTGGGTTCTGTGTCTGGATGCGTTGTTTGCATAAGCCTATGTATCCCACACAGTGGATACAGCTTCCATGAATGCCAGAAGAGGAACCCCTGGAGCTGGAGTTACAAGGGTTGTGAGTTCCAATCAAACCTGGGTTCTCTGGAAGAACAGCCAGTGCTCTTAACCACTGAGCCACCTCTCCAGCCCCGTGAAAACCTATTTTAAAATACTGTACATCTCCTTGTTATCTACTCTACCTTTATATTTTCTGTAGCACTAAACATGCTATTTATGGATTCATCTCCTCATTTGTTTATTGTTGGCCTCACCCTTCACTGCCTGCTCATTTACAGTTGGAAACCAACAAGAACAAGGACTTAATGCTTTTAACTGATGGTTCTCTACTTTAGGGCAGCTCTTAACTATGTGTAACTGCTTAATTTCCATATAATGTAATGAATTTTAAAGTTCAGACTCTCTCTTGCACTAGTCACATGTTAAGAGCTCAGGAGCAGCTTGTGGTTTGTGGTTTGTGGCTTGTGGGCAGGACACACACAGAACAATTTCATCATCTCCATAAATTCTATTAAGCATCACTGATGTAGAGCAGTAGCTGGTACACTGGCATTCAGGAAACATGTAGAAGGAAGTTCCCCATGACATTAATCTCAGGACATGGCAGACGTAGTCTTTCTTACCTCCATTATGGAGAAGCAACCCAATTTCCCTTTGGTAATCTGCACCAAGCACCCCTCCTAACACTGTTTTTCCTTAGCCTATTGGCTTAACGTAGTGGTTTCTCACCCTGTGGGTTGTGACCCCTTTGAGATTGCATATTAGATATTTACATTGTGATTCACAACTAACAAAATGACAGTTATAAAGTGGCAATGAAAATAACTATACGGTTTGGGGTCACCACAACATGAGGAACTCTATTAAAGGGTCCCAGCATTAGGAAGGTTGAAAAATCACTGCCTTAAGGGCATCAGAAGCCCTAAGTGGCTAGGGGGAAGTCTGAGCTCCCAGACAATGGGATATTTGTTGAAACATTTAATATTTCCAAATATTGGCACAAAAACATGAAAAAACCAAAAATATTGAAAACAATTACCATAGACACATGACACAATGACATGAAATTAAGTGCACCCAGTTGAGAAAAATTAAAGGGTAGAAAGTTTCTTTATTTTTTAGGATGTGAGGAATGCTTAGTAACACAGAAGGTTGAAACAAATATGACATTTGTCACATAAATTTAAGCTGGTATATTCTCTCTCTCTCTCTCTCTGTCTGTCTGTCCCTTTCTCTCTAAACGGCCGAGGGAGGAGTGGTTTGTTTCTCTCTCTCCTCTCCACCCCCCTCCCTCTATTGTCCCAGACTATTTTCTAACAGGTAACTTGGGTGTCCCAATTTGCACCAATCAGGTCTGGCTACCCTTCCACAACAAGACAATTAATTAAAAGAACCAAATTAAACATGGACAGCAGGGGAAAAAAAGATTTATTTCATGTGCTCACTTTGGGAAGGGAGGACAGAGATCCAGCGAACTTCTCAAGTCTACTTTAGGGTCCTGAAGTAAGATCAAAGTTGAATAGAGGACCAAGGAAGCGCACATCCAACCAGTCCTTCCCAAGGTGCAGTCATGTTGTAGGAATTTAGCAGAGACACTGTATCTGGGACAGACATAAGAATGAACACCCAACTTTGAAGAATCATTGTGGTAAACAGCAAAGAATCCTTGTGGAAAACAGTGATTGTTTCCGTGATTTGTAGAACTGTTTATCTGAAGGAGGTTGCAGCCATCCCTTGACTTTGGTCACAAGATGCCTCAGGCACACCTGAGGCTTTTATATTATTGTGTATTGCAAATGATACATAATAAAGTTCTAAAGTCATGAGGGCCTGTGATGCTTTCCTTTAGTAAGAGATATAAATTAGATTAGGGAACTTGGTATAAGGAAACACTTAGTGTAACAATCAATAAATCAGTCCTTGTAAGGCTGTTTGGCTCAGTCCATCAGAGAGGCTGGACCTTCCTGCTGCCACATAGGCTTCAAAATTTGATGGTGGAATGCCTTCTTTCTTCAGCTAACCCAGGCTACACAGAACACCCTGACACAGCCACACAAGCCATTGGTTCAACATCAGCTGAGTCTTAGCTTCATCCTCTAAGATGGTCTGACAAGATGTTCAAACTGAAATAACCTTCAGGGAGACAAGTTACTCCTCTGGATGGTGCCCCTTCCATCTCCCAGCATGAGATTCCAAAGGAAACCCCATATCCTTGGTGTCCATTCTTTCAACAGTCTGGTAGTCAGGTTGAGAGACACAAGCATCTCTTTGTATCTGCCAGCCCAGTACATGGAAGGGTCTTTATAAAGATGTTCCCTGGAAAATCCATGAGAAAACAACACCAGATGGTCTGGACTCAATGGATCCATGCAGGTGCTGGGCTCCCATTGAGTTTTCCAGTGAAAAGTGGATCTGCCTCAGATCCCCACGTTGTGATGTCCACATTAAAAACAAAACAAAACAAACAAACAAAAAACCCACAACTCTCATCCTAAATGGAATAAGAGTTTATTCTGGATCTGTCTTGAGTGACCAAGGCTCAGGAACACAGATCTAGGTTAACCCAAATTCCATGTTCCAACATGGAAGCAGTTTCATTAAGTTTTTATAGTTTTACAGAACAAAGAAAGTTATGTAAGACAAGGTTAAAATACATTGGTGGGTACATCAGAGAGGAAGGTACAGCAAGATGTGAGAAACCAAGATGCTATTCTGAGCTTTTGGATTGGTGGAAGCTGGTGGTCTACTAAGTTAGTAGATTCTAAAAGGTTATTTCCACCACAGAGGTGGCAAGGAATGGATACTGGGGGTGGGGGTGGGGCTAGAACTAGCCCAAAATAAGGTAATTAAATTAGTTTCTGGACCCTCAACATCCCCATCTCTCGGAAGTACCCCAGTTCTAATCAGCCAGTCAGCCTCTGCAGACGCAGCTTCTTTCTAGTTCTCATCCACAGTCCCCATAAAAAAGAAGATACCAGCAACACTCCTTATCTCTTAGAATCTTCACTCATGTGATCCTGTCAATCGTGACGGTACATACCTGTTTAATTTGCACTATCATTTGACTTCAAATAAAATCAACTTCCTTATTTTGCAAATTCTGCGAGATCCCTTATTTTCAATTCATTGGAAAAGAGGCAAAGGAAGAACTTGAAAACACCTAGCCCAGACCTTGACCGGGAGTTTCTTTTTTGTTTTTTCTTTTCTTTTTTTTTTTTTTTTAAGCGCTGCAGGCTCACTCCATCACTCATAAGAGGGAGGGACAGGCTGTACCGTCAGGTCTCTATTGCTTCAATCAGTTTTTGTTCAATTGATCACCCCATTCACTCTCTGACCTGTAGTCTTTCGGAACCTTGATGTGAACTTCACCCAGACACCAGAATCTGAAGAGCGAGCCAGAAAACAGCGGGATCCAGGCAGCCAAAGACACCGGAACATAATTACAGGCCCCTGTTGCTAGCCGGAATTCTATAGGCGAAGAAGAGTGCAGGCGGAAACCGTCTCGGGGGAGATTTTTGGCGGAGGGATGCACTTGGTCGGTTCTGCCCTTGCTTGAGTTTGTGCTTCCGGTTGTGCTCTTGCTTGAGTTTATTTTCACGCCATGCTCCGCAGAATCCCGACGTTTATACGCCCTCGCCCCTTCTCGGGCCTTCCTTTGTCCTCTGGAAACCGGGACGTCGCGGTGTCTGTGAGTGTGCTGCACGCGGCTCGGTCCGGAGCTGGCAGGTAAGGCGTCCCAGCGTCATTGGCCCCGCCGGTCTTCCAGGACTGCCCTTACCCTCTCCTCTCTTTCACGCGCAGTCCTCGGTTCTCCGGCCGCCTGGGGTTGGTACCGAAACCTTAGGCTCTTGAAGCGGTTGTTGTAAATGTGGGCAAAGAGAAATCGTACAAAGACGCGGCCGCTGGCCCAGGGTCCCGGCGGGTGTGGCAAACCGCTGTGACAGCCGGTCTTGTCTCCTGTCCCAGGGACTTTCTGCTGCACGCCTGCCCCTCCTCATCTTGCTTGCTGCCGCAAATCTTCGTACGGGCTCCAAAAGAGAGGTCGTTTCTTTCATTCTATGCTCCCCAAGATTTCTAATGAAAACTGTAAAATCAAGTCTCTGAAGTGAACGATGTGGGGTTTTTGATTTGATGCTGGAAATTGAATTCGGGGTTTCTTTCTTGCTGGACAAAAGATCTACTACTCACATCCCCAGCAAATTAGGGGAAGTTCTATAATAAACGTTATTTTTTTTTTTTAAGTATCACAGCCCTCTTGGAAAGAAACATTGTGGTAACCTGATTTTCATTTGTCTGTTAAAGTACCTTCAACATTAACTTTCAGACGTAAAATAATAATAATTATCAGAGGATTTTCCTAATATGAATTGTGCCATATTGATATTATGAGCGTTCTGTGTATTGGTCATGACAGTACTACCTTTGTAACTTCTTTTTCACCCCAAAGTGACTTTCAAGTGACTGATGAGGTAGCCTCAGGCATTTTTCATAAGCAAATTATATAGTTTTGGAGTTTGGGAGAGCTAGGTGATTGGTGTCTCAGCTGTGCACATTTATGGCATAGCAATGCGGCTTGGGCCTTAAGGACCTCTAAGCTAGGGAACCCTGTGTAGCAGTCTGAGTGAGAATGTCTCCCGTAGTCTCAGATGTTTGAATACTTGGTCCCTAGTTGGTGGCACTTGTCTGGCTTTGTTACTAGAGACAGCTTTGAGGTTCCCGAAGCCACACCCATTCCCAGTTTGTTCTCTGCTTCCTGTTTGCAGCTCTAGACGTGACCTCTAAGCTGCTCTTGCCTCTGTGCATGGTATTTGCTGCCATGTGTCCCCACTGTGACAGACTCTTATCCCCCTAGAACCTTAAGCCAATTAAACCCTTCCTTCTATGAAAAAGGCCGTAGTGCTTTATCACAGCATGAGAGAAATAACGAATAGACTTTGCTCCCAGTTGGTGGTGCTATATGAGGAGGTTTAGGTGATGGAGCCTTGCTGGAGGAAATATATCATTAGGGGTGGGCTCTGAGGTCAAAAGTCCTCACCGACTTCCGGTTGGCTCTCCCTGCTTGCCACTGAAGATGTGAGCTTTCAGCTTTTTGCTGTCACTCTGCCTGCTGCTTGCTGCTACGCCTCCCTGTCCAATCTCTCTGGAACCATAAGCCACAATAAAGTTCTTTAAGTTGCCTTTGGCCACAGAAAAACATCTACTACAAAATTCAGTGGGTCTTGCTGTGAAGAACCTGTTTTGGAAGAATGTGGAAGGCTTTGGAACGGTGCACTAGAAAACAGGGGTTAACTGCTGCAGGTCATGTATAAAGGGCCATTCTGATTGGCGCCTGGAAGATAGTAATGCTGAGTGCAGTGTGGACTGTATAGGTCTGGCTATAGAGTCAGGGGAACAATACTGGCAGCTGGTCCAGAGACCATTCTTGTGATATTTTGGCAAAGAATCTGGCTGTCGTCTACTCCTGTTCTAAGAACTTGCCTGAGGCTTAATTTTTAAAGTAACGGACCAATTTCTTTGAAAATTTCAAGACAGTATAATGTTGAGTTTATGGTATGGTTATTATTGATAACACTTATTCAAGTCCACAGTGCAAAAGGGTAAGTGGGACAAAAAGACATACAAATGTACAGTTTGGAGAGACAAAGGGCCCCAGGGAAGCTTTGTGTTACAGCCAAGGCACAGGCTCAGAAGAGACTTGATTGTTAGGGAGTTATTAGTACCATTATGGAGATGCTTGCTATACTCTGGGAAGGCTATATAAGGGAAGGCAGCCCTAAGGGCAAGACCCCCCTGTAGCAGGAATCTTAAAAGTTCTTATTAATAAAATCCAACCTGAGGCCAGTTATTGGGGTGAATGCTGGCAGATCAGAGAGACAGAACAAGCCACAGCTATCTCACCTTGCCGGATCCTCAGCTGGTCTTGTCTCCTCAGACTGGAGGCCTCTGAGTCCTCATCCGGAATGAATCCCAGCTGAACTGTGCTGCTTCAAAGCCTGAAAGCTTAACCAGCCGAATGCTTAACCAGCCAAATGATGCTAGTTTCTGGTCCTCACGCCTTATATACCTTTCTGCTTTCTACCATCACTCCCTAGAATTAAAGACTTGCTTCCTGGGATTAAAGGCATGAGTCACCATACTTGGCTGTTTCCAGTGTGGTCTTGAACTCACAGAGATCCCAGATGGATTTCTGCCTCTGGAATGCTAGAATTAAAGGCGTGTGCTATCACTGCCTAACTAGTGGCTTTTCTGTTCTCTGACCCTAGATAAGTTTATTAAGGTACACAATATTTTCGGGAACACAATACCACCACACCCCCCAAGCTCTGAACTTGGAGAAGAGCCTAAAGAGTTTTCTCTGTCTTGAAAGTCACAGCAAAAGCTGCTACTAATACAGTTCTGGCTAGCTGGGGCGCATCCCAATCTGGTAACTGAATTTGTCACTGTTGCCCACGTGATGCTGGCTTTAGGGTCAAGAAGGGGGTGTGGATTCTTTCTCTGTGGTTCCTCTGAGGCTGGGCATCTTGTGGCAGGGGAGACCTGACAAGCCATTATGTGATGCTATGAAAGTACAGCCAGAGTTGCATGGGAAACCCCAAGGTTTTGGAGGTGCCAAACCAGTCAGATATCTGCCAAAGAGAGCTGTAAACATTGTGGAACCAGTCCACGAGAGAGATGTATGTTTCAGACAGCAAAGCTGGATGGGAGGAGCCATCTACATCTTTTGACATGTAGCTTCAAACATGGAGCTGCAGGATTGGTATTTGCCCTGCTGCGTTCCAGTCTTGCTTTGGTCAAGTATTTCCTCACTATACCCCATTCCTCTCTTTCAGAATAATAATGCATTTTCTGTGCCATTATATGTAGGAAGTATGCAATTTGCTTTTTGATTTTAATAGGAGGTTACAATTAAGAGATTATCTTGAATCGCAAATGAGACTTTGGACTTTTAAACAGTGTGAAAGACTACTGGTACTTTTACAATTTGGCTAAATGTATTTTCCATTATCGGCCATGAGCCTGCAGGGGCCAGGGGGCAGCATATAGTAGTTTGGAATCAGGCTCAGATATTTGAAGACTTGGTCCCCAGCTGGCTGCACTGTTTGGGGAGGTTTAGGGGGTGTGGCCTTGCTGGAGGCAGTGTGTCACTGGGGGTGGGTTTGAGAGGTGAAAAGCCTTGTGCCACTTCCAGTTTGCTGTCTGCTTTGTGTGGCAATTGAGGGTGTGGTCTCTCGGTCTCCTCTTTCTGCCATGCCTCTACATCTGATGGGCTGTTCTCTCTGGAATCAGAAGGTCAGATAAGCTCCTTTTTCCTTTAATTCCTTTTAGTCACGGTGTTCTAGCTTAGCCACAGGAAAGTAACTAACGCACCCTGCGTGGTTGCTTCTGTGGTTTTCAGTTTCCTTCCCTGTAAGAGGAGGCTAATACTGACCTTTGGAGTTGATGTGGGTGTGAAAATTGTACACAAGTCTTGTTGTACGCGATGCGCAGAGTATATACTAACACATGATAAATTGCTCCCATTATGGTTGTTCATAATAATAGAAAGCAAACGAAAATGGGAAGGGCTTAAATTGAAATTCTTTTCAATGTAAAAGCAGGTTTGTTTTCTTTTTTCAGTTACTACTTCTTACTTTTGCATTATACTTTTCTATTTTTCCTTCATATGTCATTCTAGGACACAAAATCATATCCAAAGACATTTTGGCACCGGCAGCTCGATCTATAGCAAGAAAGATAGCCAGTCTGTTCCAGCTAATGAAATTTCCCAGAAGGCAGCAGAGAGCCAAGACAAAGGAGAGGAGACTTCAAAGAAAGACCTGCTGGACATTATTAAGGACATGAAAGTTGAACTGAGCACAGTCAATGTACAAACAACAAAGCCACGTGGCAGGAAACCTTCCCGCAGTCTGGAGGCTATAGTTAGCAGGCATCACAGAGCTCCAGAAGATCCTCCAGAGAAGAGGTAAATAATTCCGATTTGAACGTTCTTGGAGACTAATCTGTGGTGTTCCAATAAGCCTTTTCTTATAGTAAGTAGTCTATTAAAGTATAGCACTCGAGACATTGAACTAACAAAGCAGCAAAAGTACAGGGTCTCTCTCTAATAGTTACTTTAGTGTGTGTGTGTGTGTGTGTGTGTGTGTGTGTGTGTGTGTGTGTGTGTGTGTGTGTGTGTGTAAGGGACCAGCAGATATCTGTAGCCAGGTATGGTGGCACATGACTATAATCTCAGCATTGGGGAGCAAGAAACAGAGAATGTGAATTTGAGGCCAGCCTGGGTTACATAGGAGACTTTATCTCAGGAAAATAATAATTTTTTTTTGGGGGGGGGGGTTTCGAGACAGGGTTTCTCTGTGTAGCTTTCGCCTTTCCTAGGACTCACTTGGTAGTCCAGGCTGGCCTCGAACTCATAGAGATCCGCCTGCCTCTGCCTCCCGAGTGCTGGGATTAAAGGCGTGCGCCACCACCGCCCGGCCAGAAAATAATAATTTAAAAAAATACACATATATATATAAGTACTCATCCTGGGTTACACTTTGGCAAGGCACACATCTGTACTCCCACTCCTCAGGCTGGACCATAGACTGCAGGTTTATGTTAGACCAGCTTGGGCTACACAGGGAAACATTGTCTCAAAAACAGCAACAAGTAAGAGTGGTTTTAAAAAAAAAATCTCGACCTGGCAGTGGTGACCCATGCCTTTAATCCCAGCACTCGGGAGGCAGAGCCAGGTGGATCTCTGTGAGTTCGAGGCCAGCCTGGTCTACAGAGCGAGTTCTAGGATAGGATAGGCTCCAAAACTACAGAGAAACCCTGTCTCAAAAAAAAACCTTGATGTGTTTATGACTTATTATAAATGTGCAATTTAAATAAATCACTGAAATGAGACAAACCCTTTGAAAGGTTCAGTAAGGTAATTTTATTTATTTATTTTTTTTAATTTTTTTTTTTTGCTTTTTCAAGACAGGGTTTCTCTGTGTAGTTTTGGTGCCTTTCCTGGATCTCGCTCTGTAGACCAGGCTGGCCTCGAACTCACAGAGATCCGCCTGGCTCTGCCTCCTGAGTGCTGGAATTAAAGGTATGCACCACCGTTGCCCGGCGTTCGGTAAGGTAATTTTAATGTGATTATCTTTATTGACTCTGAGAATTTCAAATATATATAATGTATTTGTCTCCGAGTCCTTTTCCTAACGCCTTCTAGATCCATCCTTATCTTCCCATCCCTTTCTAAATTCATGTCCTCTCTCTTTTTTTAACTAACCCACCGAGTCCAATCTTTGCTGCCCGTATACTGATGGGTGTGAAGCAGTCCACGGAGCATGGTCCCTGTACCAAGGGTGACACCCCTGGAAAACTGACTTCCTCCTCCAGCAGCCAGCAGCTGTTAGTAGCTCCTCACTTAGAGGTAAAGGCTCACGAGCCTCTCCATGCTAGAGTGTTGGCTGCCTTGATGTTGCAGGCACCCACAGCTGCCGTGACTTGATGAGTGCAGTGGTCCTGCCTTGTTCAGAAGATGCTGTTGTCACTCTGGTCCCTGTGACCTCTGCTCTTCACAATCTTTTCCCCCACCCCTCAGTGGCCCCAAGCTTTATTAGTGGAGGGTGGTGACGGAGATGTGCAGTGTATGACTGCTCAGTCCGTAGATGGTTTCCTTAGACCAGTTGTTTCTATGTTGACCTCCTGCCACTTCCTAAAGAAACCTCTCTGACGCAGTGTGAGAGCTACACTAGTCTATGGGTATAAAGATACAAATCTAGAGGGCAGTTTGATGCTATGTCCATTTAGCAAAATGATAGGACTAAGTTCACCCTTACGGCCTATAAGCTCCCCAACCGTGGGTCCTCGGCCATATTTACAGCATCAGGCATGAGTTTACTCCCATGGACCAGGTCCCGTGGACCAGGCCTTCAGCCAGTCAGAAAGCAGTTGGTTTTTCCACTGTTGCACCACACTGGTTATTATTGCAGCCTACGGGTTCACAGACGGATCTCCTCGTTGATTATTTCCCCCAGCAGCCTGCATAGCACCTTCCAGTACTGTGAATGCTAGTCATCAGGGAGGAAGCGCCTTGGTCAGTACAGCTTGATTTCTCCATGTCCTGTGGCCCAGTTGTATAGCAGTAGGGTCTTACCATCAAGTTCTGGTGGGCAACGCAAGGGTGGGAATAGCTACATTGTTTTGGGGATACTCCTACAATAAGGCAATTAAAAAAGTTTTCCAATTAGATATGACAAGATAAGCCAGAGAGTGTAGATTGCCTCGTAAGTCCTTTAAAGGTTTTACTCTACTTTTTTACTTAATTTTTTAAAAATGTTACCTTTGTGTGTGTGTGTGTGTGTGTGTGTGTGTGTGTAAAACAGTGCAGGAATGCTACATGCCTTCCTAAGAATGCCGAGGTCAGGAGACAGTTGCACAGTTGCTTTTGGAGTTGGTTCTCTCCTTCCACCATGTTTCTGAGGTAGGTCTTCCCTATTTCTGCCTCTGTGCTGTGTGTGAAAGCTTTGGGTCGGTTCTACTGTCTCCTCTCACTGGCCCGAGGAATGCTGGGATTGCAGATGTATGCGGTTGCATACAACCTTTTTGCTGGGTTCAGGTCACTGAGCTAGTTCGTCAAGCACATCTACCTGTTGAACCATCTCCCTGGCCTCTGTTTTTCTGCATTAAAAAAAATAAATTATAATTGTTTTTATTTTAATAATTTTGGGGGTATTTTTGAGAAAATGTCTCATGTAGCCCACACTGGTCTCAAACTCACTTTGTAGCAAGAGATAACTTTGGTCTCCTGGACTCCTGTCTCTGCTTCCTGAATGATAGGCATGTGCATCATATTTAACTAGTGTTCTATCAGAAGGAACCGAAATTAGAAATACTGGACTATGCAGCAGTGATGTGGTAGATATAAAAGATATCTTGGAACCCTCTGATGTTGGTCCAAGAAGGAGGCTGTGGGCAAGATTGGTGAATGGGATGCATTTGTTTTGAGTTTGAAGAAAAGTTTCTTGTAATAATTTTATTTAACCACTCAGGCACCAGACGTATCCCCAACCACTTTCTTACGTTTTATTTTGAGATGATGTCTCACTAAGTTACCCTGGTTAGCCTTGGACTCACTTTGTAGCTCACATACAGCAAGCACTTGTGGTCCTCCTGCTTCAGCCTCCTGAGTAGCTGAGATTACAGGCCTGCGCCCAACCAGTTCCTCCCTCCTCTCTCCCATCTCTCTCTTAGAATCCAGTGTCTGCAAATGTGAGTTAGTCCTAGTGTGTGCCTCGTGATACACTGTAATAATCACTCCATACGTGACCGGCCTTCCCTGCTCCCTTCCTCCTTTCCTGTCATGTATCAGAGCTCACTAAGATGGCTACCGTGGCTGCATTATAGATGACCCTGAGACACACTCCCATAAAATAACTGTTTTTATACTCACAGAGAAGAAGATACCTGAGGCAGGCCTCAGTGGGAGGCCGTGGAAATTTCTGAAATCATCTGAAGTTTGCTCACTCACTATCAGCTGAGACTTTAGCTGGTGCTACTAGCAGACCTAGCTACATGAGCTTTTAGTTTGCTTTGGCATTTTCACAGACTGGTGGCTGGATACCAAGGACAAATGTCTCAAGAGCAGCATGTAAGCAGAAGGGATGATGTATTTTCTTTAGTGACCTAGCATTGGAATTAGGTTGAATGACTGCCATCAGTTCACGTTGATGTATGCGGGTTTGCTTTATTTTTAAACTCACAGAACTGCTTGGGGGAGTGGGGCGATCTGTACCTGAGGATCCAACTCAGGCCATTAAGTTTGCATGGCAAATGCTTTTCCCAAATACTAAGTGAAGTTGCTGGTCCACACCCAGCTTTTTCCCCTGTTCTGGGGACGGAAGTCCGGTCCTCAGAGTTGCATGGCAAGCACTTCCCTGACTGAACCGTCTTCCTAGCCCTCAAGACAGGATCACCCCACATAGCCAGGCCTGGCCCTGGACTTGGATACTCTTGCCGTAGCTTCTGGGTACAGGGATTATAGGTGTGAACCACCGTGCATAGTTGCCCATGGGTGTGTGTCAGCGAGTATTAATTAACTTAGAGTACACTGTTTCAAAGTTCAGGTATTGCCAGTGTCTAAAGCAGGATTTTTTTTTAACGTGTGTGGTGTGTGTTTGTGTGTGTGTGTGTGTGTGTGTAAGTATATGTAATCCTAGCAGTTCTGTGGCTGAGGTAGGCGATTGTGAGTTACAGACCAACCTAATGAGACCCAATCTCAAAACAGACAAACAACAAAGCCCCCAAGAAAACAGTGTGGAATAGTTGAGACTTCTTGCTCTTACGAGAAGTTGAATCCTTTCTTTAATGAGTTCTCCTCCCCACGTTGTTTGACTTTTCACCGAACTAGTGATATACTAATTGCGGTTTTCCTTCCGCGTTTCGTTTTCTTGTTAGAAATGAGTTCCTGAGTCCTGAGTTGGTGGCAGCTGCGTCCGCTGTTGCAGAGTCTCTACCTTTTGACAAGCAGACCACCAAGTCCGACCTGCTCAAGCAGCTTCAGCAACATGAGGAAGAGTCAAGGGCTCAGAAAGACAAAGAGAAACGCAGGATTAGGTGAGCGGTCAGATGCCATGTCAGTGACGCTTAGGTCTCACGGTGGCTGGTGACTGGCACACACCTGCTTTACGTGGAAAATCCACCTCACGGGCCAGCGAGACAGATGACTTCCTGCCAAGCCTCATGGCTTTATATCCCCAGGTCCTCATGACTGAAGGAGAACTCAGTCCACAGACTGTCTGCTGACCTCTGCATGCATGCTCATGTGTACACACATACCCACCCCACATAACAATACATTTTCAAACGTTCACCTCCTCAGAGCAAGTACTTCTAACTGATGGGCCAGCTCTCTTAAAGTGGATGGCTAAACTTTTCTTTTAGGCCATTACAAAGTTTTTTGCCCCTGCAATAGAAATGATAAAATCAGTAGTGTTATTTAAAATGAAAAATAAAATAGGCAATTGAGTAAGATAGTTCCCTGAGAAAATCAGTTTTTCTCAATTGAACAGTCCGCTAGTTTTGCTCACAGTGTGATTCAAACACATTCTCTCCCCTTTTCCTTATGTTTGAGCAGAGCTTTTCAGCATATTCTTTTCCTTTAAAAACTATTTTATGTGTATGTGTCTAAGTGTGTGTATCTGCACCATATGCACGCAGGAGCCTGCCGAGTCAGAAGAGGGTGTTGGCCCTTGGAACTGGAGTTGTAGGAGGTTTGAGTTGCCATGTGGGTTCTGGAAACCAAAGAATCCTGGTCTTAAGAGCAGCAAGTGCTCTTAACTGCTGAGCATTTCTTCAATCCAATCAATGTATCCTTTTTCCCTCTGTAAATTTATGCCAAGTTTTCCTACTTAATGCCTATTCACTGTCATAAATAGTGGCACTGCTTCCCTTTGGGGGTGACATGAATCTGTTCTCAGTGGGCACACAGAGGGCATTTGTCTCTAGAGGATCAAAGAGGAAACACATCCCTCACCGTCACCTGAACCCTTCTACATGTACACGGCAGCAATAGAGCTCGTTTTCAGTGTTAATGTAACTGTCAGTGGAGGTGATGGGTACAAGTATACTTGTTTGTATTTTCCTGTCCGTTTCTCTGGATATTAATAATTTTTGTAACTGACATTTTCATCTTTCACATAAAGATTTCTTAAGCATATATTTACAAAATTGGAGACATACATCTTAATGCCTATGTCACATGAGTAGAAGTATGTGACTTTACTCATAAATCTTTATGCTCTTGTTGGGGCATAGAAGTGGAATAAGAATTAAGTGGTATGTCACCTCTTAAGAAAAGTTTGCTACTCCAGTGCAGCTAAGAGTCCTAATGCACATGACCTTTTTATTTCAGTTTCCGTCACATCATATCAGATATGAAGATTGCCAAGCCCACTTCCGTGAGACTTAGTACAAAACCAGAGCACCAGATTCAGTTTGATGAAGAGATGGAAAGTTCTTCTCTTGACCAGGAGAAACCAGTTGACTGGAAAAAACGGTATTCAAGCTTTGTCGTCTACTGGGTTTTGTGTGCATGGTTTGTTTTTACTCTAACTGTAGTCTTAATTTATTCTGCATATTATTACTGATAGATCCCTAATCACTGTGGATACCTAGTTAGGGTTTATATTGCTGTGATAAAATACCATGACCAGTAATAGCAACTTGGGAAGGAAAGGATTTCCAGGTAACAGAATCACTTAGAGGCAGGGCAGGGACTCCAGGCAGGAACCTAGAGGCAAGAACTGAAGCCGAGGCCATGGAAAATGGCTTCTCACTGGCGTGGTCCCCCTGCCCCTCAGTTTGCTATGTTATACAACCCAGGACCACTTGCCCAGTGAACTGGGCCTGTCCATCAATCATCAATTAAAAAAATGCACCACAGGTTTGCCCATGGGCCAGTCTAGTTAGGGCATTTTCTCAGTTGAGGTTTTTCTTCCAACTTGGGTTGTTGACATAAAACTAGCCAACACAGCTATCTTCTCTGAAATTCCAACTGACACTCATTACCAGAAAGTTATCACTGATGTATGCGTATTAATTCCTGTGGAGGGTCCCTACAGGTGTCGTTGCAGACAGTGATCCTCAAAGAGGTAAGAACTTCAGGGAATCTAAGCCCAAGTGGTTCATTGTTACCATATTCAAAACACTGTACAATTTGGGAAAAGGTTTCCAGGCAGCAATCAGTGCAATCCCAGGTGCACAATAAAACTTAAGGTGTGACTGCATAGAGACCGTTTTACACAGTACATGTGACCATGAGGGTGGGTTGTGTAGCTCAAGGGCCTAGAATCTAGTGTGGTCTCTGACTGATAGCATAGAGGTCAGCAGGCCATAGAGTACTTGTGACATCTCCCCTAAGGATGGGTAATCATCTGGGGAGGGAAGAGTCTGGGATAATCATTCTGGGGAATTTGGGTGAGGTCTGCCTCTATAGTAAAAGGTGGGTGAGGTCTGCCTCCACAGACAACAAAAAGGTCACCAGGTCATTAACAAAATCCACTCTTCAGCTTTCTGGGTGGAATGCAGATATTTAATTTTTATCTCCTCCATTGAGGAGACACCCCTGTGTGATTAACATTCCTGGTTCTCCTCGTGCTTCTCTGTGAGTACAAGGACCTCTGTGCCCCCAACAAGTGCAGTTTGCAGTATTGGGTATAAATATGGTATGCCCAGGCTGAACGGGAATTTATTGTGCCATTTCCTGGAGAGGAAGTTCCTGGGTTTAACAATGCCACATTTATTTATACCATGAACCAGAGTGAGTTTTGGCTCACATCACCCACACTGCTTAGTAATCCTTCCATTTAGAATAAGTGGTGCTGAGCAAATTGTGAACAAATAAGTTTACAAGAAGCATTATTTTTCATGCTGAATGTTTCTAACACTGAACATTTATATGCCCTTTGCATGTTTAGTTATGGTTCCCTTTCTTCATACCTTAGAGAGATAACTCATCAGTAAATGGGCCAGGCACGGTGGCTTATATCTGTAATCCCACACAGGGGAGGCTGAGGCAGGAGGAGCACCGTGAGTTTCAGGCCACTCTGGATTTCACAGTGAGTTCCAGTTCTGCCCGGGCTAGAGTGAGACTGACCCCAAAACAAGAGCAGACATGTTGGTGCATACCCACAGTCCTAACTTGGGAGGTGGAAGCAAGAAGCTCTTAAGATTGAGACTAGCCTGGTCTACAGAGTGAGACACTGTCTAAGAAAATGAAAAATGCATATACATAAATATAGATTTTAAAGATCATAATAAAAAGTCCCCATATTACCTTAAGGTGGTAAATTATTTGTAGTCATTTGAATTTGCTAATTTGAAACTGTTAAGACACCAAGCCATACTTTACATGGTTATTTTGCAGTTGGAAGTTGTATAATTACGTAAAACTTGTGTTCTTTAAGTTCAAAAAGTGTTGGTTACAGGGAAAGGTGTGTATTTGGCGCGGACTGGTGAGCACTAAGCTGCCTTCAGCTGTAGGACATACAGTCGAAGGGTTCTCGGTGCTGTATCTGTTCCATGGATTCTCAGTAGTCTTGACTTAGCTTCTTCTAGGTGTTAGGGAGATTTGTGGGGAATCTGAAAAGCTGGTCAGCGTTATACAAGAAGTTCAAGTGGTTAGCATTCGTTTTAGAGGGTGGTTTGAATTACTGAAATGACTTAGTGTCGTTAACATCTTGAAAGAAGTAAAAAGCTTACTAGAGTCCACAAGGTAGAAAGAAAGAACTGATTTTCACAAGTTGTTTCTGACCTCCACATGTGCACCGGGGGCAATGGCACACGTGCGCGCGCGCGCGCACACACACACACACACACAGAGACAGAGATGCACACTTATATACACATACAAAATAAATAAATAAAATAAATGTAAAAAAAATTAGGGGTAGCCAGGCTGGGGATACATATTTGTAATCCCAACATTTGGGAAGGAGAAGCAGAAGAGCCTCAGTGTGAACCAGTCTGGGACGCACAGAGAGGCTGCATTAGTTAGTTTTCTGCTGCAGTAAACTACCATGGTCAAGACAACTTATCCATGGCAGAGACATGGCAGTCGGAACAGGAAGTTGAAGGGTCACATCTTCAATGGCAAGCCCAAAGCAGAGAGCGTGAGTTGGAAGTAGGGCCAGGCTGTTGGTACAATGATGAACTTCCTCTAGTAAGGCTGTCCATACCACGTTCCCAAACAGCGCCACCAAGTGGGGATCAAGTGTTAAAATACCTGAGCCCATGGGGATGGACACCATTCAACCACCCCAGGTGCTCTGGCGCAGAAAATGCAGATTTCAAAAGCAGTGCAAGAGGAACTTTAGACAGTCGGGGCGGACGCGGAGGCTTCTCCATGCAGAGTCTAAGAGGCTGACAGAGAGGGTATTGGGAAGCAGTGCAAGATGCCAGGTTCTCCTGGTGGGACTTGAACAGTCGTTAGGGCAGCCTGAGAAAACCAGTCCTGGACTCGTTCAGAGACGGAGGTCTGGGTCACGGAGCACTGGTTTTGGAGTGTCCCTGGGCGGCTCCAGAGGCTTGGCACTATGATTGACTAATTCTGGCTGAGTAACTTTTACAGCTCCCGTTAGTCTGTTTCCCCACCCACCAAGTGACAGTGAAAACTTAACTATGTCATGTGCTTTTCTCATTGATGAGACATGCCATGAGAGCGGCCCCAGCTGTGAGCAGGAGTATGCGGCAGAGGTCGTCTTGTATCTACCATCTGGAAGCAGAGAGATGGTCACTGCTGCTCAGCCCACTCTCCTTTTCCCTCTGTATTCAGTCCTAGACCCCAGCACGGGGGACGATGAGACCCACATTCAGGATGGGGCTTGCCTCCTTTAAACTTCTCCAAAACTGCCTTCACAAACTGCCCAAAGGTGTGCCTGCCGAGTGAGTCTACATCAGTGAAGATGGCAGTAGGTCTAACCAGCCCGCTAGCTGCAGCAAAAACCAGAGTCAGTCTTTAAGGGCACTAGCTGCTCGGCAAGTATGCACACACACCTCCAGCCAATTGGTCTTACATTCCCGCAGACAAGGTGATCTGTCTTGATCAGAAGTTGCTGTACTCTCTTATCCTGCTGCTCAGTAATGATGTTTAGTAGGGAAGAGAACTGGAGGCCCTGAGGGCCCTTCCGGACAGAAAGACCTGATTCCTTGTTTTTAGGGTCCTGGTCTCACTCTGTAAGCTAGGTGGCCAGGGTGGCTTGGAATTCGATCCTTCTGCCCCTGCCTCCCGAGTGCTAGGGTTGCCGGCATGCAGAACTCCAGACCAGGAAGGCCAGTGTTCACAGCTACACAGGGACCTCCTGGAGCAAAACGTTTGCATGAATGAAGGCTCTTTTAATTCGCAGCTTTTTCCACTTTATTTTAGTAAAGTAGTTTGATGGAGAAAAGAAATTTTCAGAGTTATTTTTAAAACTATTCCTATAGTTTATGAACTGTGTTTTAATCTGTTAGTAGTTTTGTTCAAGTTAATAGTAAGTCGAAAGAAGTGTTTCTGTTGAGAAGAGAAGTGAACTGACGGTAGAGCAGTCTGCCCGGGTTTGTTTCTGTTCCTGTAATCAAATACCCTGATGAAGAGCAGCGGGGAAAGAAAGGGTTCTTGCTTACAGCCCTTGGTGGCAGGGAATTCAAAACCAGACCCTGGAGCAGCTATCCCATCCCATCCACAGTCAAGAGCACGGAGACATGCGTGTTTACTGTGCTCAGACCCTCTCTGTACTTACAAAGCCCAGGATCTTCTACCTAGGGCATGATGCCACCAAGTCAGCTAAGGCCATCCCCCACTGACAGGTCCAGCCCAGCTTGATGTAGGCAATCCCTCACTGAGGCTTTCTTCCAGGTGATTGTAGGTTGTGCAGGTTGACAGACATCATAATTAAAGTATCCTATATCCCAGAAGGGGCTGCATATTAACTCTCTGACATTAATTTCAGCGGTTTGTAAAAATGGCTATGTAAAGAAAGTTAAGAAATACTTTTAAATTGCAGATTGATTGCTTCATAGAATAGCATGTTTTATCTATGCCTCCTTCTACCACTATAATTTATAATTAAACTTTCCACTGTCTTCTGTCCTCAAAAACAAATGTTTAGTTTATTGCTTCTGTTTTTGCAGATTTTTATAGAGTTCCACAACACTAAGTTTTCTAGAACTTTCAGTTGAGTATTTTGAAAATTAAACTTAGCTGATTTGTTGTGTTGTAAAGCAAAAATCCAAGGGTATATGTTCTGTTTTTACTTATGAGTCCTAAAATCATGGCAATGTAGCTAAAATGTTTGATGTGGGTCAATGCGATTATCTTTAATTACTACATAGATGGTTTCATGTACATTTTTTTCTTAAGCAGTTTTTATTGACATTTTATAAATATATCTTACTAAGATGTGTTTTTTAAATGTTTTTATCTTAGGAGAAGTATATTCAAGGGGAAAAGACTTTCAATTTTTGACGTTAAGGCGTTTGCTGATGAAGCACCCAAACCAGGTTTGTTAAGAACAAGACTTCTCAAGTGGAGAAGCATTCTGACTTTGAAAGACGGCATTGGTGTTTTCATTGTAACAGTTGGGTATTTGCATCTTCATATTTCTTCCTGCCATTGGCCTAGTATCTTGCCTATGAATAAAACTGTTGATACTGCTAATTTGGATCATGCTTCCCCCTTAAAATATTGCCTTCTGTAGGATCTCAGGAGATCAGTACTACCAGAAAAATAATCCAGAGCTATGGATTGTCTGCTATTTTTGTTTAGAAAGTATTATTCACCCACCATTTACATTATAATCCTCTGCTTTTACATAAAGATAACTAATGTATGGTTCCTGCTTTTGAGCAGCTTACTACCCAGATTAGGGGAGAGTGTGTATATATTTATTAAATTGAATACTCTCTTTTCATTTTGGTTAATTTGGCTGCTTGACAACCTTTTTTAAAAAAAAAAACTAATTTTTCATTTCATTGATTCTTTGTAATTTTTTTGTTTCTGAAATATTAAAATCAGTTCTGATTTTGATTATTACCTCCCATTGATTTTTTGGGGGGTATTGTTATTGTTTTTCCAATGCCTTCGGGTGCTTCATTAAGTTATTAATTTGAGACTTCAACATTTTTTATGTAGGTATTTAGTTCTATATTTCTCTTAGGACTGGCTTCAGTATTTCCCATATTTTTTATGTGTTTTCTTCATCATTCAATTCTAGGAATTCTTTAATTTCCTTTTTGATTTCTTCCTTGAACTGATTATCTTTCAGTAGCATATTGTTTACCCTCCCATCTGTTAATGTAATTTCTGCAATTATGGCTTTATCCCATTGTGGTCAGACAAGAATGCAGGATGTAATTTCAATTTTCTGTAGTTTTTGAGATTTGTTTTGTATTCTAATACATATTAGGACAAAAACATGATCTAATTTGAAAAAAATTGCTGCTGAGAAGAGTGTATATTCTTTAGTTTTAGTTTGTGTGTGTGTGTGTGTGTGTGTGTGTGTGTGTGTGTGTGTGTATGTGTGTGAATGACCAATGTATTGGTGAGAGTAGAGTATTGAACTCACATACTATCACTGTGTTGGGATTAATCTGTGGCTTTAGATTTAACTAACAGTGTTTTCTTTTATGAAATTGGGTACTCCTGTATTTGGTGAGCATATATTTAAGATTGTACTAATCTCCTGGTAGATTTTTTTTCCTTTGATGAGTATGACATGTCTTTGTCTATTCTGACTAGTTTGGTTTCAAGTCTTATTTTGTCAAGTATTAGAATAGTTATGCCTGCTTTTCTCTTAGTTCATTTGCTTAGAATACTTCTTTGAATCCTTTACCCTAGGTGGTATCTACTGGTAATGGTGAGTTGTGTTTCTTGGCCTAGGACTCTCAGAATGTAGGGGAGCTGATATGGGGAGCATGGGTAGCCTACCTGGGTCTCTGGAGGGTCCCTGGTGGGGGGAACTATCCTGGTTAGTTTTTTGTCAACTTGACAGCAATCTAGAGTAATTTGCAAAAAGGGAATGTCAATTGAGAAAATATCCCTACCAGAATATCCTGTGAGCAAGCCGTGGGACATTTTTGTTGTTGTTGTTGTTGTTGTTTAATGATTGATGTAGGAGGGCCCAGTCCACTGTGCCATTCCTGGCCAGTTGGTCCTAGGGTGTATAAAAAGGTAGACTGAGGGATTGGAGAGATGGCTGAGCGGTTAAGAGCACTGGCTGCTCTTCCAGAGGACCTGGGTTCAATTCTCAGCAACCACATGGCAACTCACAGCTGTCTGTAGTTCCAGTTCCAAAGGATCCAACACACTCACACAGACATACATGCAGGTCAAACACCAATTCACGTAAAATAAAAATAAATCATTTGGAAAAAAAGGTAGACTGAGCAGGCCATGAGTAGCAAGCCAGTAGGCAGTGTTCTTCTGTCAGTTCCTGCCTCAAGTTCCTCCCCTGCCTTCCCTGGATGTTAGATTACAATCTATAAGATGGGATAAACCCTTTTCTCCCCAAGTTGCTTTGAGTCATAGTGTTTTATGGTATCAGTAGAAACCCTAACTGCACTAGAACCAGTCTGGGATATAGTAAGACCCAGAGGTTGGTGAGGTGAGGAGGAAGTGTTAGTCCCTGGCAAGCAGCACAGTTCCCAAGGACGGAGAGGCCAGGAGGTGGTGGCAATTCCTGACAGGCAACCACAGGGCTTTGGGGTGATCAGATGAAGGGGTACTGAGGAGGGGAGTGCAGTTACCCACCCTGCCTGTGTCTCCACACCAGGTGGGGCAGGCAGCTGGAAAGTTCCTGCGAGAGGACAGTCTTATTTTTACATTTGTAATTTACTCAAATTGCCCTGCCAAAGTGCCTATACCATTTTATTTTACCATTGGCAGTCGCTGGTGGAAGTATGACTCATGAACGATGTTAGAAGTTTCCAAAGGAAGTAAATGATTAAAGTGTGGAAGACGGTGGTACACAGCCGCCATGTGTTACCTTACTCAAGAGCCGATTGTGAAGATTAAATTAGCCTGTTTAGAAAAGTTCCTCACAGACTGAGTGTTCAGTATCCGTTAGTATTTCTTTTCCTGTTTCCTCACAGACTCCTGTAGCTCAGGCTCTAGGTAGTCAAGAAGGACCTTGAACTCTGTAGGAGGCCCCGAGGTCCTTGTGCTCACAGGTGAGCACTAGGGAACCAGGCATGTTAGACATGCCTCGCTGTCTCTTCTGAAGGCCGGGAGTGGAGGTAGTTAATAGCCTGGTGATGTTTGCTATCTATGTTTAGACCACACCAGGTCCTTCCTCAGACTCTGCCATGAGCTTGTTTTTCTCAGGCAGTCTGTAGAACCTGCCGTTATAGAAGATGTCACATGGAGTCAGTCTGTAGAGCCATCTTTGTGAAAGCTGTCACGTGTACTTTACAGAGTCTCAACGTAGTCATGTCTTAAGCTTTATTGTGTGCACAGGATTGAGTTAATTAGCACTGGGAAACATTTTTCCAAATTGTGCTCTGCTAAAATATGCCTCAAATAAACTACGTGAGGTCAGACTGTGCACCCACCCCAGCTACTGAGCTGTGTCGAAGCGGACTCCCTGTGCCTCTCTCCGATGGACACTCTTCTGGCCGTGGGGTTTGCAGAGACCCCGGACCCTTGTCCGCAGTGTTGTGATTCCAAACATTCGCCATCATGACCACCTTTGTCATTCTCAGTACTGATTTTTTTCCGTTTAAAAACATTTTTTAGGGGGACAGTTAGTCCAGTTTGGCCTCATCCTCTCTGTAGCTGAGGATGACGACCATAGACTTCTGGTTCTCCTGTCTCAAGCTCTGTGTGCTGGGTCATCACATTGTCATCACTGGTGACTCATTTTGACAGATTGGGACTTTGAAAATCAAAATCACAAATGTTACGTACATTCAGCCTGGCGTACCAGTAATTCCCTCAGGAGACTAAGGCAGGACTACGGTTCTACACAGACAGCCCCTCTCTCTAAGAAAAACAAATCAAAACCAAAACATCAAACTCAAAACCATTCTTAAAGTGCAGATTCTTTTCTTCTAGTAGAGGCGCAGTGATAACCTGGCATGGTGTCAGTAAAGGCTGAGGTTTGCCATTCTTGTCCTTATACCCCGTGTCTTCCACTCTTGTTGCAGTTGTAGCTCCTGGGAGCCTTTCATTATTATAAACTAATTCTGAATCCCAAGGTCTGAAAATATGTATCAATAAAGAATTGATGATAACATTGTAAAATGAACTTTCATTACATGTTGATTTGTTTTGTCTCTGTGTTTAGATGTATGAACGTGGTTTGAGTGTGGAGGTCGGGGGACAGCCCTCAGGAGTTTGTTTGCGCCTTCTAACATTAGGTCCGTGGGAATTACACTCGGGTAGTCAGGCCTGGTGGCCTGTGCCTTACCCACTGAGCTGTCTGGCCAAGAGTTACTGTCTTAAGAAGACATTTACAGTGTGGTTGATGTCCCTGCGAGGCCTGCTCTTTTCTGAGGGGAGATGGAGTGGGGGGTTGCATCTGGGGGAGAGGGGAGGTATAGGGGAGAGATTCTGTGGTCAGGATGTAATATATGAGGGAAGAATAAAAAAAATAATAATAAGACATTCACGTTTTCCTGTACTTAAACTTTTTTTTTTTTCTAATATAGAAGCCTCGCCTTCTCTCTGGGAGATAGAATTTGCTAAGCAGCTGGCCAGAGTCAATGAGCAGCCTTTGGGGAACGGATTTGAGGAGATGATCCAGTGGACAAAAGAGGGCAAACTGTGGGAGTTCCCAATTGACAACGAAGCCGGTAGGTGTTACTTCAGGAGCTCCTCACAGTCAGCAATGGAGGGGTCCATTTTAGACTGTAGGGAGGTGCGTATGTGGACCTCAGAACAGTGGCGTCTGAGAAGAAACCTAGCAGTGTTATTTTAAATTGTTGTTTGAAAGATGTTTGGGGTTTTATTTAATTCTAGACATTTGATAGTAAAGTAAAGGAGTAAAATTTATGTCAAAATGTATCATGGGAACCATGGATGTAGTTCAGTCAGTAGAGCGCTTGCCTAGTACACGTGAAATCCTGGGCTGCAGGCCCAGGACCCGGTAAACTGGGCACGGTAGCACACACGTTTAGTCCCATATTTGGGAGGTGGAGACAGGAGAATCAGAAGGTCGGGGGCACCCTCAGCTATGGGACTCACATTTGGAAGTTCGAGGACAACTTTGGGTATGAGTCTTCACCTTCCACCGTGTTTTGAGACAGGTCTGTCTAACTTACAGCTTTGTGTCCTGCCAGCTGACCCAGGGGAGTCCATCAGTCTGTCTTGCCTCCCACTTCCAGTAGGGGCTGCACTGGGAGGCCAGAGTTGCCCTGTTGCCTCTGGCTTTCTTCCATGGCTTCTGAGGATGAACTCAAGTCTTCAGACTTGGGCGGCAGGCCATCTCCCCAGTCCTAGACCGCGTGTTTATGTCCATGGTACCAGTAGATGGCTGGGGTGTGTTGGATCATTTCCGTTTAAAGTCATCGTTGAGCCGCGGTGGTGGCGCACAGCTGTACGCTGGCATTGGGGGTGTGGAGGCAGGAGTGTCAGGACCGACTGGGTTAGGGCAGAGCTGTCTGAAAAACAAAACCAAACCGCGAAGTTCACTGAATTGTTGGAATGGAACTGTGCCCCCTGGGTTATTTTCATTTTTATATTTATCATTTGTGTCTTCATCTCTTGGGCTGCTTGAACATCTCCTTTACTATTCGGTCTTACTTTACCTTTAAATACTTACGCACTGTATAGCTGTCTCGGTGGTTTCCTCAGATGCCGACAGTATTGGTGAGCACCGGTTGCTTCTACAGGTGGAAGAGGGGCTGTACCTCAGGCACTGCTTCGGTTCAGGCTCCACCACAGCCCTGGGGGGTTCTCTCAGTCCTCGTTCTGTGCCTGCCGAAACTGATGCTCACAGTCACACCAGCTCTGATCTCAAAATCTAGGCTTCTAACTCTGCTGGGATAGATACTTCATCAGTGTTAATTTTATGATGTAGGCTTTACGTTCACAATTACGTTACTGTGTATTTTACTTCTCAGGTTTTGATGATGATGGCTCAGAGTTCCATGAACATATATTTTTGGATAAGTACCTCGAAGGTTTCCCCAAGCAAGGACCAATTCGCATCTTCATGGAGCTGGTGACTAATGGCCTTTCGAAAAACCCATATCTGAGTGTTAAACAGAAAGTCGAGCATATAGAGTGGTTTAGAAGTTATTTTAATGAAAAGAGGGATATTCTCAGAGAAAATAACATAGAGTTGACTTAACATCATGAAGAAATTTTTTATTTAAACTGCTGAAGATATATATTATAGCTAAATAAAATTTTTATTAAAGTTGTCCTGTTGATTATTATATCTGATTTTACTAATACAGATGTGAAATTACTTTTAACCTGAAATATGTTTTTGTATAGAAAGAGCATTCGAGGTACAAAAGAATGTCTGAGAATTAGTAATGCCTGTGGGACAGTTCTTAGGGTTCTCAGTAGGTGACTGTGCTTCTTTGAGGTATATAATTGTTAGCTGTAAAGCTGATAACATCAGAATCCTGTGTAATTAGTCCACTAATTAGTCCCATAACAAAATATCTAACTCTGGTTAATGTTATAAAGAAAAAACATGTATTTAATACAGCATGGTACAGACTTTGGAAAGGCTTCATCACAAATGCAAAATCGCCTGTGGGAGGAAGTGATCACACCTCAGAGCAGGCTGGAAGTGAAGCCCCACAGTCCCTTCTGAGGGCGTGGCCCCAGCGACTGAGGACCCTCCAACCAAGCCCCACTTCTTCATTTCAACTGAGTTTTTAATTTATTATTTGACAGTCTTGTACATATATACATATGTATCTTTTTCATACCCCCCAGCCCCCTCTCCCGCTGCTTCCAGACCCTCCCAATATGTTCCCTCCCACCTGCAGGTCCTCCTCTTCTTTTTTATGACTCACTGAGCCCAAATAGTGCTGGCTGCAGGTGAATACGAGCCCCACGTTAGGATCCATGCCTCCTTCACTAAATAGGATCTACACAGTAGAACGCAGGAAGTAGACAGCTGATTCTTCAGCCCCAGCTGACCAGCATCCATTATCCCAGCAAAGCAAAGGTTTCACATTAGTTGTTCCAGTATCTTGTTAATCACGGTGGATTCTTCAGCCCCAACTAACCAGAAGCACAGAATCTTATCTCAAATGGCCCGAGGAGTTTTTGCTTCCCTCTGAAATGTCACAAGCATTGTTCTCAACATTCCTACCTCCCCAGCTCCTACAGAACAGCTCACTAAACTTTCAACACTCTGGCTTTCTAGCCCATAGGTCAAAGTCCTTCCACAATCCTCCCCAAAACAACATGGTCAGGTCTGTCACCCCATGGGCAGGAGCTCATGCAGAGGCCATGGAGGGGTGCTGCTTACTGGCTTGCTCAGCCTGTTATAGAACCCATGACCACCAGCCCAGTGTGGTACCACCCACAATGGGCTGGGCCCTCTCCATCAATCACTAATTAAGAAAATGCTCTATAGGCTTGTGTATAGCCCTTTTCATGGAAACATTTTCTCAATTGAGGTTCTGTCTTCTCAAATGACTGTAGATTGTGTCAAAATGACATAAAATTAGCTGTCACAAATGGGATTTGTGCCTTCCTCCTGGAACAATACTGCTTCTGCACTAGCAAATCCAACATGGTCCAATATAGAGCTCAAAGATAGTTCAGTGACAAGCCTCCTCTTTCTGGTGGGCTTTTGACTCCCTCCCACTCTGGCTCCTCCCCCTGGTCATCCTTAGCCTCTTCATTTACCTTGTCTTTTTTGGTTTGGTTTGGTTTTTTCAAGATACGGTTTCTCTGTGTAGACCTGGCTGTCCTGGAACTCTCTTTGTAGACCAGGTTGGCCTTGAACTCACAGAGATCCACCTGCCTCTGCCTCCCTGGGCAGTGCTGGGATTAAAGGTGTGCGCCACCATGCCCATCTTACTTTAAGTGTTTTACCAAGAAGTTCTTCCTGGATCAAATCATTGTCATCAGTGGGCCCACATTAGGACAATGGGTACCCTAGCTAGGTTCCTAACTGGGCCCCTGATCTGTGGTCTCATCTAACTCAGTACAGGCCGCTGTCTCGTTAATTGCTCTCACAAAGTTTCTCCAAGAGCTTGAGGTGGGCAATCACACAATGCACTCCAGACAAATTTGAACTCTCCTCTGTGAACCTGACCCATATCCCCATAGATCCTGGGGACACAGTCTAGCCCCACAGTTCCCCTCTAGCAGGAAGCCACCAATGAGAGAATACATCACCCCTGGTTGGTCTCTGCTCTCTTATTCCCATGAATCCTCCGTCAGTTTTGATCTGACACCCATAGTCTTTGGTAAACATGTTCAGGACCAGCCTTGACCATGTCTCAGCAGTCTCGACTGGTCATCTAGAAAGGGAAGGAGGCTGATGGAGGAGTCCCAGGTCAGGAGGCTGAGGGAAAAGCTCAAAGTTTGACATCTTATCTATCTATGGCCTCTCTCCCTATTGGTCTACCTGCCAGGGATCTGTCAAGTTCCTCGTCCTTTATTCTGTCAAGCTACTAGAGATTTATTCTAGAAATGGTGGAACAGGAGGATGGGTTGGGTGTCCCAGGCTTTATCTTCGCTCCTCCTGGGGAGACGAGAACACACATGTACTCACCCCTCACAGGACACCAGTAACAGAGGGAAGTCAGGTTTCTACTCAAGGCCAGCTTGCTAAACCAAGGAATTTATTAGGCTTCCTTAGAGAGGGTGGGTGAGGAGTTACAGGAGAGCAGGTAACCGTTACATGGGTTCAACATGCTGTTACAGTAGCCTCAGACATCAGCGGAGATGGGCTCCTTCCTTGTCGATTTCAGACGCCATCTCCTGATTCTCTGGTAACGCTAGAGCGAGAAGTCTTTTGTTGGCGTTTTATTTTTGAGATATTTTACATCTCTATGTATGTGTACACACACACACACACACACACACACACACACACACACACACACACACACAGAGTTTGTTTTTGTTTTTCAAGATGGGAGTTTTTCTGTGTATCCCTGGTGATAAATAAAAATTCCCCAATAATGAGTAACTCCACCAAAGTAATCAGTCAGATCAGGCCAAATTAATAAGTCCAGGTTTAATCTGAGCAGAGCATTCCTGGGTGGTCCTAGGGGAAATCTATACGCCTAACCTTAAATACCCTCCCGGGGAGGGGGGGAGCTGCTGCTTGGCCGGCTTTCTCAGGGACGGGGCCTGGGGGGGGGGGCTGAGGTGAGACTTCCACCTAAACATCCCAGACTCCTTGGGTCTATGGCGCTGGTAGGGCTTCCACCCAAACACCTGGCTGTCCCGGAACTCTCTCTATAGGCCAGGCTGGCCTCAGACTCAAGAGACCCACCTCCCAAGTGCTGAGATTAAAGGTATTGAGATTAAAGGTATGTGTCACCACCGCCCAGCTGAGATTATAATTTACTAACAATACTTCCCGCTTTTCCTCCCTCCAAACCTTCCCATAGGCCCCTCCCTGCTCTCATTCAAATTCATGGATTCTTTTTTCACTGATTTGTTAATGTGTGCACATATATATGTATTTGTGTGTGTGTGTGTGTGTGTGTGTGTGTGTGTGTGTTCCTAAACATAACCATTGAGTCCGTATGTTACTTGTATGCACGTCTTCAGGACTGATGAACCCGAATCACCAGGGACCCAGCATGGGTGTGAACAAGTGAGCCCGTGCTGCCACCGGGTGGTGCCGGGACACAGCCGACATGTGAATAGCCTAGCACGCACTGTCCTATTGAGCCCCTGGGCCCCCCGCATGAAGAGGTGAGCCCAGACCACCAACCACATTGTGTTGTGGGAAGTGGGGCCATAGCACGTGAGGAAACACATGACAGTTCTGGGGCACGGCAGGTATGAGGTCGTCGTCGTCGTCGTCGTCGTCGTGCTGGGACGTGGCACACGTGCACACGCACAGCATTGCTAGCTGGTGGCCTGGGCACGCCTGTCAGTTCTCCTCCCCACTGCCCCAGGGCTGTCAAATGGCAGCCTAAACACTCCTTTCCACATGCCTATCACATTCCAGGGCAGGCAGGCGTTGTCCGGCCCCTTTACACACCTGCCATGTCCCAGGTTTGCCACACGGTGGTGCAGTGTTCCCTCTTGTCCGGGGAGCCTGTCCCAGCACCAACACTTACCAGCCTAGCCATGCCTTTTTGCTTTATTTGCCTGGTAACATCTGTTCACACCTGCTGGCAGGCCTGCCACGTTACAGTGCCACCATCTCCTGGTCTGGGCACCTGCTTGCACACTTGACAAGTCCCTGAACCACACAGAGGGGCCGGGGCATGCCTGTTTGCATACGTCTCATGTCTGGGCAATAACCCATGGTGGCCTGGAGGACATGTGTAAACAGACGTTTCCTGTCCCAACCACCTGGTCCCAAATAACTGACTCAGAGGCTGAACATGAATTATAAATGCTCGGCTGATAGCTCAGGCTTGTTACTAGATTACTCTTAGACTTAAATTAACCTGTATTTCTATCTATGTTTTGCATGTGGCTCATGGCTTGTTACCTTGCTTTTTTACCCGTCCTACGTACTCAGCAGCTGGCTGGTGTCTCTCCTGACTCTGCCCTCCTTCTTCCCATCATTCTCAGTTTGGCTTTCCTTCCTAACTTCCTACCTAGCTACCAGCCTGTCAGCTTTTTATTAACCAATGAGAGTAATACATATTCATAGTGTAGGAAGGATTGTTCCACAGAAAACATGTCTGTTAATATGCTTGCCATGTCTCAGGACCACCAAGGGGTGGCTGGGCCACACCAATTCACAAATCTTCTGTGTCCCAGAGCCACCATGTGGTGGCTGGAGCTCTTCTATGTCTAGTGTCACTGAGTGACAGTATGGGGCTCACCTTTTTGTACTCCAGCTGTGTCCAACTGGTGGCCTGGGCACATCTGCTTTCATGTCCACAATATTCCAGGGCCGTCTCATAGCAGTACGGACATAACTGTTTGCATACCTGCCATGTATCATTTAGCAGCCTCCATATGCCTGCTCACACAGCTGCCATGTCCCAGAGCCACTGTGTGGTTGCACGGACCTGCCTGTTTTCATTCCTGCCATGTCCCAGTAGCACAACGTGGCAGCACCAGCCCGTATGTTTACATGACTCCTGTGTTCCAGCACCGCCAGAGTTGGAATTTATTAGAGTGGCTTACAGGCTGTGGGCCATGTAGTCTAACAAGACATCTCCTGATAGAAAGTTCAAGGATCCAGTAGTTGTTCAGTCCACAAGATTGAACGTCTCAGCTGACTTTCAGTCTACATTGGAATCCC